TTAAATTAAAGCAGTTATAGTGGAACATGCTTTGAAATAAATTCAAAATGTACCAAATCAGTTTCAAGTTGTTTTTGCATTGAATCTGAATCAGATTCAATTTCAAATCAGATTTGGATTTAGATTTGAATTCAGATCAAATCAAATCAAATCAAATTCAGATTCAAATCAGATTAGATCAAACTGTTATGGTTTCGAATCAGATTGAATCAGTTTAAAATGAATCAGATCCATATCTAATTCGTATTTATAAAAATCAGATCAGATCGAATCTAGTTAAAATCTAATCCGATTCGATCTGTTGTGATCACTACTATTGATACATCATTGGATACAAGGAAAGGGTCCATCTGACCATGATAAAGGTCACAAGATACTCAATTGATTTTTTTTCAAGTCAGAGCCACCTATCTTTTGATTGCATGTCAGGTAGGTTTCCTAACCTCTACTGCTCGGAAAAGTCTAAACCAGAGAAAGCAGGAAGCTATCAAGAATATTCAGTGTTAAAGCTTGTGCACAAAGTAACCCAAGAAGTTTTCGTCCTATCTTCAAAAAATCCCAAACTGAAAGACTGAAAGGCTAACGCCACTTCACCAATCAAAACTCGAGTCTGAAAATGTCAGCAGTGATGTACGAGTTGGCTGGATAATCTGGGAGATCCTCATTGATCGCTAACATCAATGGCCATTAGCAGGGTATGTCTACTGCAAGGCTAGGTACTATTCTTTCTATAAGGAATTAAATTTGAAATAAGAGGCACAGATGGGTAAGTATTTCCATATTTAAATAAGAATAGATTTAATTGATGATATACTGAAAGACTTTCAAGTCGCTCATGCGAACACCAATATATCACCTGGGCCTTCCTGATTACTTCCTCCCCACAAGCCTTAAAACTGTAAAATCTCTTTAATAGCTTCCAACTTATTTTCGTAAAAGACTCAATAAAAGTATCTCTCCCTAGGCCTTTCTACAAAAGAGTTCAGAACAAAAAAGGCATGACCAAGAAACAAAACTGATACCTGCCCAAAATAGTACATGACTGTTCAATTGTATTTTTCTTATTATTATTATTTTCAGACACCAGCACATTCTAGGGATGCTGGTTTTTTTTTCATTAAAGAAAGGGCAACAAGCCTTGATGTAGCTTTAGAAATAGTTTTAGCTTATCATTATCTTTATAGTCACTGAATATACACCCTTATACTTACACTTGGTGCAATGTATACATGTAATTTGGAAAACAATAAAGTTAGGCATGAACCTGTCAAAAAAAAAAAAAAAAAAAAACATTTTTAAATAATCTTTTTCCTTTTTTTCAATCTATTCTTTTGTAATTTCTTGTATTTCAATGACTTGATAAGACATATGACAGTGATAATCTATCAGCAATAAAGTAATGAACTAGGAGGGTATTTACCCAAAGATCACCATGGAGCAAAATGTTGTTCTCAAGGTCAAACTTAGATACTATTATTGCTTACAATAAGTTCATTAGATTTGATAAAAATATTTAATTGTAATATATATTATACTGCTCAAGTGAAAATGTACTTATGTATATTTTCAATTGATTAATAAACTACGATCTAGCCTGGCTGTGGGCACTCAAAAAAAAAAAAAGTAATAAGCCATAAGCAATGATTTGACTTAAGGATAATTTGAATCAAAGAAAGTGAGATATACTGTATGTATTAGAAAAAAGTTGACTATAAAAAAATCGATCACTCCTATGTATTTATGCAGTACTACGTAAATCGCCAAATTGTAAAATGATTACAGATATTCTTCCTGTTATTGACCTTGAGCTTTTCCTGAACGAAAAAAACAACCCTTTAACAATTAAAGAATGCCAAAAGGCCGCGGACGCTTTAAGAAACTATGGCGCTTTACTAGTAAAAGATCCACGAGTGACAGAGGAGGATAACTCCCGGTTTCTAGACTTGATGGAAGATTATTTTGCTCAACCTCTAGAAGTCAAGTTGAAAGATACGCGTCCAGAACTTGGATATCAGATGGGATTGACTCCTGAATTTAAGGAAGAGCCGAGGTGCTATCGTAACCCCGATTGTCTAGATATAATTGCACAGCTCTCTGAAGATAATCGACCTCTTCCTATTACAGGACCTGACGTAAAATGGCGATTTTCTTGGAACATTGGGAAAATTCCTAAAGAAACTAAATTTCCCCAACTAAATGCAGAGTCAGTTATTCCAGAAGCATTTAAAGATGTTTGGTCCACTACTATGAATAAATGGGGTAATCAAATGCATCGGGCTGTGATAGATATTTCTAGAATGGCCTCGGTTGGATTAGGATTGCCTGTTGATACATTAGCAGATCTCACGAAGAATGGGCCACATCTATTAGCTCCCACGGGCAGTGATCTGAACGTGCATGGAAAACTCAATACAGTTCTTGCAGGTTTTCATTACGATCTGGGTTTCATGACGATTCATGGAAAAAGTCGATTTCCTGGGTTGTATATTTGGCCACGTAATGGACCAGTTAAAATGCAAGTTCGAGTTCCTGACGGGTGTTTATTAGTGCAAGCTGGTAAACAACTTGAATGGTTAACAGGTGGTGAGGTGAAAGCAGGTTATCATGAAGTAGTAGTCACAGAATCCACACTCAGAGCAATAGATGATATCAAAAAAACTCGACCGAGTAGACCATTGTGGAGAGTATCTTCAACTTTCTTTTTTCATGTCGCGAGTGATAATTTATTACGTCCACTAGAGCCATTTAAACCGAATGCATTTTATCCGCCAATGCTCGCTGGTAATCAAGTGAAACAAGAACTAGGTCAGATTAACTTAATGGAGTCGTAGATTACGCGAATACCGCACTTTTATGAACTTGCATGATCGATATCTAGAACTTATACAATATTTTGTATTTCCATATATATATTTACCATAGTAAAATTTAGATTGACCTGGATTTAATAATAAGAAACGAGAATATATTGATGACTTATTGTGCTAATTAATATAAAGCATGATATAATTATTTCTTTTATTATTAAAACGTATTTGGAATTCTAATAGAAAAATATGCAATTTACTTTATCCTCCTTATTATAGTTCCGTAGGGTTGAATATAACCAGACGGGTTACATTTTTTTAAATATCTCAATCAATATTGATTCAAAAATAAACTATTGGAAAGAAGAATTGAATGATATAAAATAGTTAAATCCCAATTACTGGCTACATCAACTCACCTGTCATTGAAGTTTAATTTTCTCTAAATGCAACATAGGGAAAGATATTTCATTTCCTTTTTGACTAGGATTTTCCTTAGGCCAAAAAGATCATTTTCTACAGCTTATTATTATAAAAATTCTATGCAAGTTAAAAATCTAACTATTTAAATACCTTTTTTATTAATATTGTGCTAGAGATGTTTTTTAAATCTTCTTTATATCAGTTCTTTTTTTCTTGTTGGATGTTTTATTATTTTCTTTTTAACAATATTAAGTTTTTTGCCTTACTTTATTGCTACCTTGTATTTTTTATATAAGATATTCTTTTTGGTACTTTTTTATGTTCTTGAAAAATTTTTTATAGCGTCCTGATTTTATTTTTATGCATAAATCTATATATAATATTATATAACCTTATATCATGTAATTATATTTTTTCAATTTAATCGATTATCTTTTTCTAAATATCTATTTAATTTTCTATAACTATATAATTTCTTGTTATTAATATATTTAAAAATCTTGTTTTGTATTTTATTTATATTTCAGATCTTTTTATATTTATATTTAATAATTTTTTTTATAATAACATATTTAATAAATTGTTTTAATAATTTCAAAATTTTTTTTTTTGATCTGTGGGTCAATAGCACAGTGGTAGTGCTCCCAGGTTGCAATCACAAGGTCTGTAGTTCAATATCACTTAAAGATCAAACTCAAAAATTATCCTTCTGATCAGATTTGACCGGTTATCCTGTAAAAGTCATACCCAATCATCTAGAACAAGTTCTAAGCAGGTTAGACTGCATGAAGATGGGACTTCTGGCCTTTCGTTGATTAGAGACTGAGATTTACAGTTGTACTACTGGAAGAATTGCATTAAGAAAGGCTTCTGGTCTAGCCTTTTACAAAAACACCCCAAGCCCACTTTGATTTGGCAACCTCCAGGATCCCCGCTCTCCTAGCTCAGAATATTCCAATCTGGTGCTCCGTTTAATTGAAAATGAGTCAATAGGGACTGATCCGATGTCACAGGTGGTGATAAAAAAAGAAAGTGCCCCTTTTCGAGGTCTGAGCGAATAATATATAGGGAATATTGGAGGGTATTACATATCCCGTCGGGTATACACAAACTATAGACTAGCTTAGTGAAACAATAAAAATTTATAAAGCTCAATACTAACTAGCCTAGACTAGCCATTGATGATTGTGTATTAATCATCTGACTCCTAGCTAGGTCTGTCCATTCACAGAGTAGTTGCAGGACTATCTAGGACAAACTGCAATAGGTTATCATTAAGCTGCATAGATATAGAAATATATAGTTTGTAGAAGATGATTGATGTAACTTCTATAGAATTTAATTATCCATCAAATTAAGTTAATTCTTAAATAAAGCTTGTATCTAATACCAATTATGATTTAAAAAAAAAATAATAATAATAATTTCAATTTTTTTCTTATAAACTTAAAGTATAAAAACTTGTTTATATATTTAAGTTTATTAAAAAATTTTATTGTTATTATTACTTTTAAAATTATATAAAATATATAATAAAAATTAAATATATTCAAAAAATTAATTAATTTTATTCTCTTTTTAAATTTAAACATTTTGAATTTATTTTTTCTTTCTTTAAATTTTATCTTTTAATAAAGTTTTTTTTTGTAGAACAAAAGTTCAACCTCATTTATTAATATTGATAAAGTAATTTACAAATTTAATTGTAGAGATTATATATTTTTATTATAAGTATTGACAAATATTCCTAGAACTTTACTTTTAAAGAATTCACTAAACAGCTTATTGCTCAGAAATATCCAATCAGATTAAATTTTTACTACTATTTATTTAGGAAATCTAGACACACTTATTTTTGGATCTTCGATCCTTTCAAATTTCTTCCAATTAACTTGCTAGGCTTAACTTGTTAGTTTTGTGAAAGAAAAAGTACACCTTTCATATAGTTTTTGATAGACTTGATATAGTTACCAGTTTTTATAAAATTTCGGGATTTGCTTATATTTAGCTATATTAATTATACCTTTTATAGAAAAAAAACCTGCTTAAAACTAAAAGTGAAAAATTCTATTTATATAAAACTGAAATGAAAATAATTGATATTTTCTTAGAACTAATTGTATTTTGTATTATAGATAATTTTTCTATTCTATAAATCTTTTATATAACCCTCATGTGATATTGAACTATAGATCTTGTGATTATGATCTAAGAGTATTATCACTATACTATAAATTTATATAAAGTTATTAATATTTATATTTATTATATATTTATTTTATTTAATTATTACAAAGAATTTTTCATAAGTATAATTTTAAATAATTGGATTTTTTTTTCTAAATTATTTAGTAAACTGTTTTATATATTATTAAATTTACAAATATTAAGTATCTTATTTTTATTACTTTTTTTTTTTATCCTTTGTTAGATTAATTATGTATGCTTTATTTAATATTAGTATACTATATATATATAATATATCACTAAAGCTAAATCTCTAATTGATTATCACTCTAAGTATATCTTTAGAAGTAATTTATTGCTCCATTAATAGCTTAGATAAAAATTCTTTCAACTACTAATTTCATTGTCTATAGATCACCATTATAGATCCTTTTTATGAGTTTTAATAGAAGTTAAAATTCTAGCTATCTTATTTCATACTTTATTTCTTTTAGTAAGATTTATTTCAGATTCTTATTTTCTAGTTTTTTTTCTTCTAATAAGGATTCTTTTATAATTGTAATCTTGTTGTTCTAATCTAGAGAGCTGGTTGATTTTCTTATTTTGTTTTTTTTATAAATTTTTTATACTTGTTTTCACTTGATTATTCTTGAACACTTTTTATTTTGAATCTTCTTTTAAAATTGGTTGCAAATCTTCTTTTGCATTTTTGTTATTCACTTTCAGGTTTCTTTATCTATTCTTTTTTAGTAATATTTTAGATTTGATATTTTTAATATCTGATCATTTCATATTAGTCCCATATAGAAGTTTAATATATTTTGACTTATTTTTTTGTCTCATCTATAAGTCTGGCTATATATTTGTCCAATTTTTCCAATTCTATTCTGTCTTCAATCAAAAGTCTTATTTTTTTTTTCTCTCTTTTTTTCTATTATATAAAAATTTTGAAAGTCTTTTAGAATAATTTTTATTTCTTATCAAAAAAAAAAAAACTCTTCACTGATCCACATTTTTTCAAAAAATTTTCTTTTTTGGTAATTTTCTTAAAAAATCACAAAAACTCTTCTACATAAAAACAAGCCTCAAAGGATACAACCATCCATTCCTAGGCAACAAAATCTACATTACAA